AGTGGTCATCCATACATGCACACGGTGGTCATCCATACATGCACACATTGGTCATCCATGGTAACGCTGAACTGGAATTCACCACTGAACAATTTACGACTTCACTACATGTTTCTCTACGATGCTCTAAGATCCAAACCAAAAATGTAGAGCTGATCAGGCTTTTGCAGCTGCTGCTCCCAAATTGTGGAATAATTTACCTCTTCGTGCTGAGTGTTTCATTTAAATCTAGGATCAAGACACATCTTTCTTCCTGGGCATTTGATCCAAGCAGAGTTTGAGATCCTCCTGGAGGTGATGATTTTTTGGACGTGCTTCTGTATTTTATTTGAGAGCCACATGCTCTTCTATCATTTCTTGTGTTTCTTTGTTCATATTGCTGTTTTGCCTTTGTGTTTGACTGATTTATAAGTCACTTTGGTCTACTTTATTTTAATGTGCTGTATAAATAAACTAACATGTCTTATCCTCTCTCCATACTGCTCACACAATACAACCGTCCAGTCTCATGCAAAACCACAATCCAGCTATTATCAAAGTCTTCTGAGTGCTGCTAATGCTGCCGCTTCTTTGAGGCCTCCTCTGTATCTGAGGGCCTTTACTCATTCATTTGAATGACTAATGGATGCTCCAGCAACTGCCTGATAACACGATTGGTACATTTAATGACCTCTGCTCATTCAAGACGAGCCAAATCTTTGTAAATCAGATCAACTGCATGTTCAGTGTCGGTCCACACGTGCACCAAAGTGCTCCTTCTTAGTGCTTTACAGTCAGTTTTGATTCCAATTAGAAACTCCTAGATAAAGCTGCTGTCATGAACAGTAGCTAAATTTACTCCTCTTCGGCTCCTTTTCGTTCGTTCAGTTAGTTCATACCTGTCTCTGTATTCATCAGATACAGGTATTTGACCCACAGCAGTGGGGACGACGTCACTGAACATTTTTGTTCCAGGGCGTGGAAACACTAATGACTTTTGCTGTTATATTTGCATCAGCATCCGATCGAGTGTCATGAGGGGATGATGACAACCAGCAGGGAATTTTAATTTGATCAGTGCGCCACCATCCTCACATTCTTACCGTGTCCAGCCCCACCTTGACCGCAGAGGGTGTTTATATTCTTTAAAGTCAGTAAAGAAAGACAGAATAAAAATCAAAGTCACATCTGGTTTTAATGAATTAGCCTGGAACGTGGCTTTTGGGCCAGTTTCACTTTTTCTGCATCATCGTTTACCTCCCACCTTTTGTTCGTGTTTTCCATCTCTGACCTTGGCCCCAGCTCGCAGACTATGGGATTTGGGATTTACGATCATGTGTCGGACCCTCTTTCTGAGTCCTATCTGCAGAGAGCTTCAATAAACCTCTCCCTTTGTTCTTTCACCGAGCTCTACGAGCACTCCCTACAAGACCTTGTTCTCTGCCACTGTAATTCTCTCTTCCTAATGTTTTTAGTGCTCATCTTTCGCTGCCCCTGCGGCCTTTTCATCTTTCCACTTACATGTTTTGGGGCCTCCTCCCCCTGCTGCCTCCTTTATATATTATAGAGCACAGCCTTTGATAAATAAAATCATCCGTTTTTGACAAGCTCATA